GTTGTGACCTGTGTGTCAGGTTCACGTATTTTCTTGGGAAGGCGTGTGTCGCCGTGTGTGTGTACGGTACCTTGTGTACTATGAAATTGGTGGCTTTGTTGGTGGGGGACGACGGTCCCAGGAGGGAAAATGTTGGACTAAGAAGTACAGGGGTCCTGGAGGTAATGGTTGGAAAGAAGAAACAAGGTTGGGGGTAGCCATAAGGTTGGAACCGGGCATAAGGCAGGCATATCAACTCGTGATGGGTGATGTCACGGGGGCTATTGTAGCCACTTTGGTGAGTTCTTCTCTTGTGACGTGTGTAGTCACAAAGGCATGTGTTGCCGGTTGTGTGAGTCTTATTTCCTTGGCGTTGTGCTTGTCAGGTTTTGATCTATTGAGTGATGATAGACCATGTCTTGACTCTTTTGTGAGTCATGTTGTTCTTGTGGTCTTGGGATGTGTTCCCGTGTGTTGTTGTTGAGAGTGTTGAGTCTTACGTTGGCTTTTACTCTTGGTTTTAGACTTATATATATGTATTCCGTTTCGAAAATGGTTTTACAACTTATACCTTACTTATGTATGTTATTTCACATGTATTGGTGGGTTACCAACATTATTCGCTGACCAGGCGTCGTCCCATGTACCTTACTTATGTATGTTATTTCACATGTATTGGTGGGTTACCAGCATTATTCACTGACCGGGCGTCGTCCCATGTTTATTTGTGATCTTTCAGGTGATGTCTAGATGAGAGAGCGCAGTCTAGTGCCCAATAGCATAGCTCCTTCCGTTTGTTTTATGGCCTGTGTGCCTATCTAGTTGTAGACTTGTGAGATTTGGGATAGTTGTATACCATGCAAATTTGGCCGTAGCGTTCATCTTTGTTGATGGACGTGGCATAACACCCCATGACTTGGATTTATGTTTATCCAGTTATCTTTTAATCTTCTGTTGTGCTAGTTGTTTAGTTGTGTTATCTGCATGTGTTAAAGCTTTTTATAGCATGTGTTTTGGGGGGGGGTGTTACATGGACAGATTGGGTAGAGGATTCTTACTGGGTAGAACTGACAAAGTATGTAGTTGCATAGTCGTTATACAACTCAACGATTGCAGTTTGCACCTTGGAAAAACAAACTTCGCCTTTCACTTCTCCATACAGCTGGAGAAATTGATATGTCATGTACTCCTCCTTATCTCTGGGTTCTAGAATATTGGCAAAAAAACGGACAAAGTTCATTTTTTCTAGATCCCCAATATTTTTCAAACTTGATTTTCATTTGTTTCTCATTGCCTGTTAAATACAGAAATCATATAAAAAATAATTACAAGTTAAAACAGAATCAAGCAAATCAAATCAAGCACAAAGCAAATCAAATTAAAAGTGTTTACCTTTTTAGTCCTAGTTTTAGCTGTAACCATATCTTCCAACATGCAACTTAGATTAGAGATCTCAGAGAAGAATGTGTTAGATGTGACATAAAGAGAACCATAAATTCTCATTGTCTTCTCATAAAAAAATTTTCAGAAGTTTCACTAAGCTTTCCACAGAACACCAATCCAAAAAACAAGGAACAGAATCACCCAAGTCAGCAGAAAAAGATGGATCATTTTTCTCATATGTTTCAAACAAATTTTGATATTGAATTGCAGTGTTAAGCATAATGTAGGTGTTATTCCACCTTGTAGGGACATCAAGCTGTAAAGCTATTTAGCTTCCACCCCAATGAGATCAGCAAGATCTCTAAACTTTTTCAACCTAGCAAGTGAGTTCCAAACTCATCTCACTGCATCCCTTTTCACTAACACATCTGCAAACCTCAAACCATCTTGAACCACTAAGTTTAGGATATGTGCTATGCACCTCATGTGCATATACTGCACCCTAACAGAAAAGAACCCCAAGATAACAGCTTGCTCTTAATAAACCCCAAAACTGTATCATTAGAATAAGCATTGTCCACTATAACAGTGAACACATTTTTAATCCTGCACTTTAATAGAAAACTCTCTAGGGCTTTTGCAATACCCCCCCCCCCCCCCCCCATGAGAAAGACAGGGACAAATGAAATTATTTTTTCTAAAGCTTCCACTGGTCATCAATAAAATGTACAGTAATGCACATATAATTAATCCTCTGGACAGAAGTCCATGTATCAGTGGTTAAACTGACCCTTTGGGTTCCACCCTAAACAACTTCTTAAGGTTTAGCCTCTCATCTAAGAATATTTGGTAGATGTCCCTAGAAATTGTCCACCTAGAAGGGATCTGAAACCAAGGACAAGCAACAAGAATAAACCTCTTAAACCTCTGGCCCTCAACAATCATAAAAGGGAGCTCATCTATGATTATCATCTCACACAAGGCCCTCCTAATGGCGTCTTGATTAAAGACCATGTCCCCAAAACCCCTCAGGAGTCTCTGTTCCAACAGTGGAAACAATATTGAATGTGACTAGGGACTGCCTTGTATCCTTTGAATGAGGATTTTTAAGGCAGCCCAACATATGATTTCTCAAAGATAATGTCTCATGTTTTTTAGATTCACATGCAAACAGTTTTGCACAGTAAAGACACTTGCCTTTAATCACTTTACCCTCAGAATCTAAGATATTTTCAAAGTGATCTAGACTTTGGATCAAGACTCAATTTCCTTCTTCATCTTAGCAGCAAGAACAGTAGGAGTGACCATAGGTTGTTGAGTATCTGTCTCAACGTTTGGGGTTTGTACTCCTTGTTCATCTAGTATTGAGGATGGAAGAGGTCCAGTCCCACTGATGCTTTGATTACTCTCCATCCATAAAGATGGGCAATTGGGCATCAGAGTTATTGTATAACAAATTCACATATTAACAGTAAAAGCTTCTACCACATACACATTACACATTTACTTCCATAATCAGGATATAGGAAGACAGGAATTCACGTATTTACATTTTACAGAATTCATCATCTTATGGTAATGCCAAAAAATTAGGGATCAATAGTCAACATAAAATATATTACATACACATACACATTTACTTCTATAATCAGGAATTCATGTATTTCAGAATTCATCATCTTATGAAAATGCCCACAAATTAGGGCTCAACAGAACATATAACATATTACATACACATACACATACACATTTACTTTCATAATCAGGAATTCATCTGAGAACTAGGGTAAACCTTCAAATATTAAGAGTTAATATCATTTGAGGTCCTCCAAATATAGTGATTTTGTCACGTTCAGTCCTAAACTTTTAAATTGGCCATCTGTAGTCCTTCGACTTTCAAATTTAACCATTCGTGGTCTAAGTTAACCACTCATGGTCCTTCAAGTTTCGAAATTTAACCAGTCATAGTCCTATTGAAAAGACCAGGGTTGGTTAAAATTTAATAGTTGAAGGACCATGGGTGGTTAACTTGGACCACGGGATGGTTAAATTTGAAAGTCGAAGGACCACAGATGGTCAATTTGAAAGTTTAGGACTAAACGTGTCAAAACCACTATACTCGGAGGACCCCATGTGACATTATCTCAAATATTAACTTCCAGCTAGGGGCTTCCACGGTTCCACCAGTGAATAGCAGAAGGTCAGAATGACAACAACCAACAATGGCGTCTTTGCTAGGCTTCCACCAGAGTCCAGACTAGAGATCACAACGGCGTCGATTCCCGTCTAAGACTCGAAGGGGAGTTCGAGAGGGACGAGTTTTGCACAGAGACGAAGAGAGAAATCAAGAACTCAAACGTCTCAAAGAGGAATAAAAGTTCCCGTCGAAGACTCGAAGGGGAGTTCGGGAAGAACGGGTTTTAAGACGAAGAGAGAAATATCGGGAACTCAGACATCTCTCAGAGAGGAGTGAAGGAGCGACAATGCAAATGAGAAACCCTAGTCGATTACATAAATACAAATCCCAAACGATGTCGTTCTATATATAGATATATATGTATAAATCTAAATATTCGAGTATCGTACGGGTTCAGATATGAAATATCCTAACCCTACCCGAACAAATTAAATATGTTATGGGGCGATTCAGATTTTCGAGATTGGATTCGGCTATCAATTCTGTTTGACGATGGTAAGTTCGGGTCAGACGAATTTCTCGGGTGGGACAAGTTTTGCATAGGCCTAGTTGGTTTAATAGAAATACACTTGGACCTTTAACTTTGGCAACGTTAAGTACATCTAGAGGGGCTTGGTCAGGACTGTTATGCCATGGAGCCGTGTCAACCTTGCAAGGTGGAGACGGATCCAATACGACGTCGTTCTGCAATTCAGGAGTAGCGGTGTCGTTAGTGGTACTGTTTTTCCATTTGTCAAAAGAATTCAACGACATAAAAAATTGTGAATATACTGTTACAATATAGAGTTCTGTAGTTGTGAATATAGAGTTCAAAAATTATGAATATAAAGTTCAAAAGTTATGAACATAGAATTTTATAATTATGAACATAGAGTTCTATAATTGTGAATATAGAGTTCAATAATTCTGAACATGGAGTTCAAAAATTCTGAACATAGAGTTCTATAGTTATGAACATAGACTTCTAGAGTTCAAAAATTATAAACATAGAATTCTATAATTATAAGCATAGAGTTCTGTAATTATATAAACATAAAGTTCAATAATTGTGAATATGGAGTTTAAAAATTATGAACATAGAGTTCTATAATTATGAACATAAAATTCAATAATTATGAACATAGACTTCTATAATTGTGAATATAAAGTTTGGGAAGGAAACTACAAATCTGAAGACAAACGCAGTTAACGGCAAAAGAAAGCAATATTTTTTTAATTGACACAGCATCCAAAACGACGCCGTTCTGAAACCGTGACCATACATAGCATAATTTGCCGCTTGGTCAAACAAACATCCAATGGTGGAAACATTATTGATTTACTCCGTATTTCATGTCAAACTCTTTCAAGAGTATGCCTACAGTGAACAAAACATGCCCAACTCTGTGTGTGTGTGTGTGTGTGTGGGGGGGGGGGGGGGGGGGGGGGGCGGCGCACAAACTTGTTGAAAATGCTGGCTGCTACCGAAACCAAGTGAACTGCCAAAATCCAGAACAAAAAAATTGAAAACAAGGTTTGCAATAGTCAAAAACTATCAAACTGCCAGTGGTAGATAAGAAATACAGCCGACGGGAACTGCTCAGTTCAGCAGTTCAATCCTCATAACAAAACTTCGAATCTACGAGATTATTCTTTCATTATATAAAACTGTGTCACAGACTATCCTAACATGACCATTGCTGCACTGCAGGGCTTCATTTCCAAGCTGATGTTACATCTAACAGCAGAATGCTGCATTAACTCTTGGTTACCTATCTAGTAGGGTTCAACAGGCTTGCGGAAGCTCGCCCCAGCATAGACAGCTGCTGATCCGAGTTCCTCCTCAATTCTCAAGAGCTACATTAAACGAAGGAAATTAGAATAGCAAACACGTGACAGTTTTATATACAAACTAGGAATAATGATGAAGTAGTGTACCTGGTTGTACTTGGCCAGACGCTCTGATCTGCAGGGAGCTCCGGTCTTAATTTAACCCTAAAAATGGTTCATGGAAATGAATGTGCATATCAGCATCAATCTTTGACAAGGATATTTACAGAAAATTTTATGTTCTTGATTATAAAATTACCGTTGCCAAACCCACAGCAAGATCAGCAATAAAGGTATCCTCTGTCTCTCCACTGCACAAAGTATACATGCATTCATTTACACAAGTCTACAAAAAATAATAAAAATGGACCATATAATTGCAAAGGGTATCATTTTCATACCTGCGGTGACTTGTCATAACACCCCAACCAGCCTTCTTAGACATTTTTACAGCTTCAATACTCTCAGTCACAGATCCAATTTGGTTAACCTAATGTAAAAATAAAACAAACATAATAATGATTTATTATATCCTGAATAAATTTAGTACAACAATTCAATAAAATTGCTCTACTCATGAGAATCAACTTGTGCTGAGTTATGAGATTTATCACATTATCTTCTGGTTGGGGAGCAATTATCTGCCCACCAATAATTGCTCTACTTATGAGAATCATATAACACTACCTTTAGAAGAAGAGCATTGCATGTTTTCCCCTCAATTGCCTTGGCAACTCTCTGCAGATGTAACAGTAACCAAAACCAGTTAAAGTTGCTTAATGAGATTGATAAGCAGGAAAGTACCACAGTAGTACATCAAAGGAATAGGAAAGTGGACCTTAGGATTGGTGACTAGGAGATCATCTCCCACAATCTGCACTTTCTCTCCAATCTCAGCAGTGAGCTTAGCATAGGTTTCCCAGTCATCTTGGTCAAATGGATCTTCAATTGAAACAATAGGGTACTCAGACACAAATGATTTGTAGAGATCCTTGAGTTGGTCACCTGAGATCTTTTGTGAACCATTGTTGTTCTGCAAAAGAAAAAGATGTGTTAGACAGGTTATGAATATGTATGGTTTTGGTTCAGTTGACAAAATTTTCTGGCATATATCCGAGCCAAAAGAATCAGAGTGTGTTTGGTTCATGGGTTTAGACACAAGGAATGCGAATGGAAGTTAATACACATTCTTTGGTTGACAACTTTTTAAACACACAAGCAAAGGATTTGATTGCCCCTATAATTACAAAACCCATTACCTAATTTAAATCAGGTATCATTCCATTAATTTCGCCTTATTTTTAAAACCTTTATTCCGATTGTAGGGTCATACATAACCAAACATTAATATTGGTAATCATTCCAATTCCAACCTACTACCAAACATGCAAAATACTTTAACCCAAACTCTTTCCAATTACCAAGTATTTAATTCCCATTCCAATTCCAATTCCCATGTTCGAACCAAACACACCCTCAGTACTCTGAATACATGTGTGTGCTTATGTAAATGGTTTTGGTTTCAAGATCTCAGATAAATAGTCGTGTCCTTTGCAAATAATCAAAGGTTGTAACTTTGACCAGATACTAAAATGAAAAGGATGGGAAAAAACTCAAAGAAGTAGGAGCATACCTCCTCTTTGAAGTTCAAATCATAAGTCTTGTCCTTCCCATAGAATTCTGATGCAGCAACATCCATTCCAATAACAACCTGTATGGAAAAGTTGAAAACTTGAAATCAGCTTAAATTTATTTAAACCATCTTAACAAGAAACTGAAATAGAAGCCAATTAACTCACTTTTCCAGTATATCCTGCCTTTTCAATAGCAGTCTTAAGCAATTCAAGACCTTCCTTGTTCTCCTGAATATTTGAAAAGGCACAGGATGTGAACCACAACTTAACGGGGGCAAACAAAAAGGAAATAGAGCCTGTATGAAAGACTTATTTTGACCTGGATGTTAGGAGCAAAGCCACCCTCATCACCTACGTTGGTGGCATCCTGTCCATATTTCTTCTTGATTACAGCCTACGGTTGCATATAAAAAATTGTAAGGTTGATAGCAAATTACAAATAAGCATCAGAATGCAAACAAAATTGACCTTAGTAGAACTCCCACTTTCATGCAGCCACCTAATAAGGGACAACTTAATTGGTGTGCATAGTGTTATGGTAGTATTCTAACATTACAATTCTCACAATTTACATAGCACTTTATATATAACAAGGTGAAGTCTTGGTTCATTATCATCTTGATCATTATTTCCAACAGAAATGGCAAAGTAATATGAGGGTCAAATCACCTTCAAGTGGTGGTATACTTCACAACCCATCTTCATGGCCTCTTTGAAGCTAGAGGCTCCAACAGGAAGAATCATAAATTCCTGCAAAACGACAACGATCAACAAGTACACTTCAGAGAGCACCATACATAATAAATAATAATGAGTGGACATACAAAATCAGAGACAGACCTGCATAGCAAGTTTGTTTCCAGCATGGGATCCACCATTAATGACATTAAAAGCAGGGACTGGCAGGACCAACTTCTTGTTACCAGCAAGGTTTGCAATGTGCTGCACACAAATTCAAGAAATAAGAATGTGAACATGATCATTACATAGACACATACCATTTTAGAAAAGGCATGCTACTTATCATACAGAGGAACAGCTAACATACCTGGTAGAGGGGAATATTTTTGACAGCAGCACCAGCTTTGCATACTGCAAGAGACACTGCTAGGATAGCATTTGCTCCAAGCTGAAAAAAAAAAAAAAAAAAAAAAAAAAAAAAAGAATCAACAGCAAAGACTTCATAAATAAATAGATAAGTAAGAATAAATCCCAAAAAGAATCACCATAATTACTCAAGTACCTTTTGCTTGCACCAACCCCACTCATTCTGAGTTCCATCTAGTTGCTGAACCATGCAGTTATCAATTCCAGTTTGATCAGTTGGGTCCTGCACAATGTGTAATGAAGAAACAAAATTACTCAGACACTGCAAACAATCAACTCTCTCATGATATTGAAAAAAAAAAAAAAAAAAAAAAAAAAAAAAAAAAGTTTTAAACCATATTGTGGTCCCAATACAATTCAAATGAAATGCTTCATGAAAACATTTAATACTCAAATGAAGGAAGATATAGTTGAAAACAAACCTTGCCAACAAGAGCAGGGCCAATAACAGAGTTCACATTGTTAACAGCCTTTGAAACACCCTTTCCAAGATAATCTGAGCCTCCATCCCTCATTTCAAGAGCCTCATAGATTCCTTGATGATTACAACAATGAGAAACATTAAAGAGAAAAATGATATAGAGATAAACATTAAAGAATAAATCCTATCAAAAGTTTCATACACAATAAACTACATACTACCTAACAAACAGAACTGCCACTTCTCCATTACTATGTATCAATTAGCTAAATTAACCTTTCAAACATAACAGCCTATCTCACATACACATTGAAATCCATCCTAGATTAAAAACAAAATTGATAATCATCATGATTATTCGACCTATCCAGATCACGATATTAATAAATAAATAAATAAAACACACAAACACATACTAGTTTCCACAAACAATATCTTAATACAAAGATAGAACACTAATTACAGCAGTCGAATCTTACCGGTCGAGGCACCGCTCGGAACAGCAGCCCTAGCCCAGAGACCATCGGACAAATGCACATCAACCTATAAAGACACATAAACTAGGATATTAGCTAACGAACACATCATTAACCAATATAGAACAGAAAATGAAACACGGAAACAACGATCAGGATCACATTGGAGATCGGGAAGATGGGAGGAGAGAACAGACCTCGACCGTAGGATTGCCACGGCTGTCGAAGATCTGACGGGCCTTGACGGACTTGATGGTTGCCATGGAAGCTTGAGTTTTGGATCGAAAGCAGAGAAGTTTCGGAGAGAACGAGATTGGAGTAATTGCAGCCTATATTTATAGGAGATTGGAGTAATTGCAGCCTATATTTATAGGAGATTGGAGTAATTGCAGCCGTTGATTAGTATGATTCGTGTACTTTTATTAATGAAATTTTCTTTTGGACTGTTTAAGGTTTAGTGGTTTGGGCTGCACCGCAGTCTGCAGCACACATATTCCATAAACGATGCGCATTTTTTCTATGGAAATTTCAATTAGCTTTTCTTATTGTTTTATTATATTTTTATATTTTATATTTTAATTTAATTTAATTTGAATGTTATTATTTTGTGGGAGTGCTATCAAATTGAATGAAGAGATAAACTGATTAAGGATTTACAAACTCATCTCATCAAAGGAAAGAAAACTCATTCTGATTTAAAAAAAAAAAAAAAAAGTTAAAAATTTTTGTCTAGAAGACATTTTTTATCTCTCTTTTATGTTTGAGTCTCTTTTTGGTTTCTTTTCAATTGGTGTCAAATGAGCATATAACTAGGGGTGGGTTTGGTTTGAGATTTTTGCACCTTATTATGTGTTTTGATATTTATTATCATATTTGTTTGCCTACTTTTGATATCGTACTATTGGAATCAAATCTTTTAGGGTATGTTTGGTTTGCACATGGAAATCAGAATTAGAATGGTAATTAAATATTTGGTAATGATAATGGGTTTTGGTGAAAGTATTTTGTATGTTTGATAGTAAGTTGGAATTGGAATGATTACCAATATTGATGTTTGGTTATGTATGATCCTATAATGAGAATAAAGGTCTAAAAATACAAGAAAAAAAATCAAGACAATTTATTGTAATATAAAGACATCCAAAGTTGTTTTCAAAAAAAAAAAAAAATCCAAAGCACTAATATGAACAAAAAAAAAAATAAAAACAAAAATCTAAAAGTACTAATCCAAACTTAAAAATCAAATTACCAATTAGGAGGGGAAATAATGGAATGAAACTCTTATTTTATTAGGGAATGATTTTTTAATTAAGGGGGTAATCAAATCTATAGTAGTGTTCTAGAAACCTGTCAACCAAACAATAACAATGACTTTGATTCCTATTTTTGATAGCTAAACTCATGAAACAAACACACCCTTAGTAATTACAAAACACATATATTATTGTTTTCAGGGACGGGGCTAAAGGGGGGCAGGGGGCAATTGCCCCCCACCCCCACCCCCACCCTCACCCCATATATAACTTTTGTATGTATATATGTATATATAGTACAAGTTTTAGTATTAGTATAAAAAAAACTATTGAATATCAACCAGAAATGAATTAGATTAGTTGGTAGAGTGCATGTTTGACTATAATAAAAGTTAGGGGTTTGAATCCTTTGGCATTAACATAATTTTACCATTTGTTTTGACTTCAACATAGTCATGTTTTTAATATCTTTTTTAATATTTAATAAACACACAAACATATATATATATATATATATATATATATATATATATATATATATATATATATATATATATATATATATATATATATATATATAACATTCTTATATATTAATAATAATATGTGTAATTTATAATGTGTTTTTCTATTCAAATTATTTTATTAAATTAATTATTTTTCATATTTTGTTATTAATATTTTAATATTTTTATAAAGTTTCGATGTGTTTTATTTTTTGCACATATCCAACAATATTTACAACTATATTTCTTAGGTAATTTTTTTATTTATTTTAAATGATCTCTTTTCTTTTAATGTTTCGCCTTTACTGAAAAATTTTCTGAATCCGTCTCTACTTCTTCGCCCCCACACCCCCAATAGAATTTCTAGCTCCGTCCTTGATTGTTTTGCTCCTCAACTGTTAAACAATGGAATCAAAAATAAGGAAAAAAATATAGAAAAAAAATAAAATAAAAAAGTCATTGTTCGTGCATTAAATATGAAATTTTAATATACATATATATATATGTGTGTGTGTGTGTGTGTGTTATATGTTTTTATATATTTATTTATTTTTATTTTAATTAATAAGTATTTATTTATTTATTTTGATTCCAATTTCTATTTACTACCAAACAAAGTGACTCCTTGTACTTAAATTCATTATCATTACCATTATCAAGTATTTGATTCTCATTACTATTCTGATTTCAATGTTTGAACCAAGCAAACCCTAAATAAGTCCCCTATCTACCAGTCGTTATATCGTGCACCAGGGCGCACAATGAATTGTGTGCCCCACCCTACGCAAAACGACGTCGATTTGGTACACTGTCAAAAATAAAATCATCTGTTTCGAATAAACAAACTCATAACAGAATACACAGAAACTCATAACTGAATACACATAATCTAACATGACACATAATACGCAGAAACTCTTAACTGAATACACAGAAACTCTTAACTCAATACATAGAAACTTTTAACTGAATACACAGAAACTCTTAACTGAATATACAAAAACTCATAACACAATACACAGAAACTTTTAATTAAATACACAATGGGGTTTGAACTGCTTGGACGGACGGAGTGGCATCTGTAATTGAAACGCGCATGTTTTGTGTCTCTGTGCACCATGGTGCACAATATAAATTGCCACTATGTGCCTATTTACTATTTGTACTGAACATGTTAGTTTGATTAAAGTTTGGATCAGACTAGGGCATGCAATTAGTGAAAGCAATTCTTGGACGAGTTTGGCCCGGTCACATCCAATTTTTAAAAACTCTTTTTTAAAACGAAAATTTGTTTAGAGTTACTATATTTATCAATTTAAAATATAATATTTTATAATAAATAATTTTATAATAGATTGCCCAGTTTTGTTTATTTGTTAAAAAAATAAACAAAATAAAAAAATATATAATCTTTCAGCACCTACAATGAAAAAGAAAAAAGAATAAAAATTATTGGCAATTTATAATTCCCGCAGGCAACTGATGATTTTAAATTAAATTGAGAGGGGTTGTTTTCTCGAGCTCTTATAGCCATAATGTAGTAGTTACACTCAACGTGGCGCTGTGGACACAGAAAATTTAGGTAATTTATATCCTACACCACGGCGGGCGTTGCACTATGCGCCCAGATGCAAAACGACGCCGTTTAATTTAATTTTTTTTTGAAATTTCCCGCCTCAGTGAATGGCAGTAGTTTTTTCTTTAAAAAAAAAACCCGCTGTTCAAGAATGTACATAATGTTATACTAGAATACACATAATTGTATACATGAATGTACATAATTATATAACAAAATATACATACTCTTTTTAAAAGATAATACACATAATCTAACATAATACATAATAAACATAAACTTTTAACATAATACACATCAACTCTTAACATAATACACACAAATTTTCTGATTCGGATGTACATAATTGTATAAAAAGAATGTACATAATTGTATAAAAAATGTACATAACTGTATGAACCAATACACATAACTGTATGAATAAATACACATAACTTTGTGAACAAATGCACATAATCCCAGCAACTTCCTACCGCGCCTCCCAAAACGACCCCAAAACGACGTCGTTTTGGGTGGCGCGCGGCGCACAGTGCTATGTGCGCCGTGGTGTAGGGTATAACGATTGGAAAATTTAAACCCGACAAATGGACAGATAAAATTGTTATTAGGCCGATTTTGAGATTGATGATTGGGCGAATTTAATTAATTGGATCACGGAAAATAATTTAATTTAATTAGTCCAATTAAGTTTGATTTGGGCTATTGAATTAATTAATTAATTGGTCCGAACCCATTTCATATTTGAGTTTGAATTATAATTATAATTTAAATATAATATAATTTTATTATATTTGAATTAAATAATTAGAATTTAATTTGAATTTGAATTAGATTATAAAATAATGAACCTAGACTTGATCTTGGGCATGTTCATTTACTGAAATAAATAAATAATTAATTAGTTAGTTAAAATGGGAGTTTATTGAGGGATTTTGGTTAGGCTTCTTACTATAAATAGGGCATTCATTTTCATTCCAAAACACAACTTGAAGACTTGAGAGCTTGAAGGCATTGAAGAACGCTTGAAAACTTGAAGGCTTGAAGATTTGAGAGCTCTTTTGAAGGCATTTGAAGATCTTGAAGAATTAAAGGTGTAACACCCCAGATTTTCAAGACATTTTAAGCTTATATAATAAAGGTAATATCTCATTACATCCCAAAGTATATCATAAGTGTACGGGGTGCTATGCCACACCTGGGCTAGAGAACCCAGGTGCACAGGCTGTCTAACTAATATCCATTGAAACACAATGCATAATATGGCACGCAGGCCGAAAGGGAAACTACTCAATTTCTACGCTCCAGTTCTAGCGCGCTCCAGTGCTCTAGTCCTCTGTGCCTGAAAGCCAAATATATCTGTTCAGCGAGAGATGCTGGTAACCCACTCTAACGCGTTGAAATACAATACATATAGAGATATATATAGATATACGAAAACCATTTTGAGCATGAAGATATATCCTACGAACACTAGCTTTAAAACCGGGAATGACTCGACAGATAAGGCCAGACACAAGCACAGTTATAACGAGCATATGCAGTTCACAACAGATAAGGCAGATAAGGCAAAGCATAAACAATGATCATAACCCAACATGAACAATCCCCAATATAAATCCCATAGTCACATCCCCCAAGACACTCGTAATCACAACTCGTCCATGTCACAACACACACTTTGTTGGCGCCACAGGACCAATCGCATGCCCATACATGAGGGTCAGCACATATAGCTCTGACACAGCCCCGCAGCACCCTGCCCCGTATCGCAACACGGAGGGGTCGATCGCAACCGACCGATGAACCGCAGCTCATCATAGTGTTTGATCGCAACCAAACAGTGGACCGCAGCCCAAGAGAATGTCATCTGACCGCAGCCAGGAAAAAGGATGAACCGCAGCTCGTATAGAAACGTTTGATCGCAACCAAACGGTGGACCGCAGCCCAAGAGTATCAATCTGACCGCAGCCAGCTTCTGAACCGCAGCTCAGGATAACCAAT